GTAATAAATTACTGTTAGAGCTCATAAAACTGCCGTGTTATAGAACAACCCGAAGCTACCACTGTGGCCATGAGTTACAAAACATTTCGTTTTTTTTTTCATCGTCATCTGTAAAGAGTAAAATTGAAATTGGATTAAGTGATTTATCATTAAATGTCATGACGTAGGCGTTCCTTGTTGCTTAATGACGCACACTGCATTTGTCTGGGTCTCACGGGAAACAATATTGAAATACATTTAAACATACTTTTTTTTCCTTTCTCTCTTTTGCCATTCAGTATGCACGTGCGGTGTATATGCAACTGCTAGATGGCTGGGCAATCAAACGAGAGCACTGGCAGACGGACTGATAGAGTGGCGGACACACAGACAGACAGACGGAAAGCAACCGGACAGAGACAAATAACGCGGTTTTTCATCAGGCGGATAATGTAAAAGTGTTTGTTTATATTTATTTTTAGAAAAAAATTTAAGGTTAAAGCTGTTGAACGGAAAACGTGTAATTTTGAATTCACATTGACCTGTGTGACCATAAGACACTGATGGCAATTATTGCGAACCTGTACTTGATTTCTACACTACTGTAGTATATTAGACCAAACTTAGTTACAGTTATTTACCAGGGAGTGTCATGTTAGCCGTAGTCGTGAATTGCGATTGATAGCGCATAGCTGTCATGTTCATTCTCGCGATCACGCAGACGATACATTTGAAGTCAAATACAGAAACCCGATTGTTGGCTTACGTTTACAATTGCTGATTTATATATATTTCAAGCAAAACATAGATTTCAAAACACTGTAGAGTAGACACCAATCAATATACCCAGTACTTGTAGTGACATGAGGTTCAACTTCCACGTTTTGCATCAACAGCGTTCTATTAAAAATAATCACAACATCACAGCGTACGTTTCAATGAATCTAAATGACTAAAAAAAAGTTGGACCAACATGATTGCAAGATAATGTATTCTTGAAATATAATCCACTTATGTCGACCTATGATGCTTTAAACATTTGAGAAGCAGTTTAAAGAGAAATTACCGCTTACCAGTTCTTTTAAACGGACAATAAGTTTTGTCACAGTTCCTACGCCAAGATACCCTTGGCTGTATATGCGTATACATTTTTAATAATCAAATATCAATTGTTAAGTGTTAATTAAATGCCAGCTAACGAATGAGGCTGCAGCTTCGAGATGTCTTTTACTGAAAGTGCACCCTCAAAAGATTTAGGTTTCATATATAAAAACCTGTTTGATGACACTGGCTAGCATAAACTTGTCATATCTTTCCTTAAAAACAAAAACCTGCCCACATTTCCGCTGGTTTGGAACGGTTCGTATTGTGTTGTACTGTAGCGGCACAGTAGCAGTAGATGCTCCACGAATACTATAAGCACATTGGATGGAAAGGTATACGTGTATGCCTATTTTAGCAGAGAGATTAATTACTATCAGTTTTTTATATAAAAACGTGGACTACTAAACTATTTAAACACACACACACACACACACACACACACACACACACACAGAGAGAGAGAGAGAGAGAGGGGGAGAGAGAGAGAGAGAAAGAGAGAGTTAATTCCACAATTGTGACTTCAGGCGAAGTTTAGAAGTGAGCGCCATGGGAATGCAATGAAAGCCACTGAATCACACATCTGAGGTGCTACAGGCAATACAACTAAGTACAAATCGGTGTACTTTCGTTGTTTGTTAGTGGATAGTATTCAAGATATAAAATATCGACGGTTTGCGCGTATCTGTATTTCCACCTGATGTACATGTATAGGCCCACAGTATACCATCAGTATATTGGTATTCGCAAGATGGCGATTGCCTTTCATCCCTCCGATTCCTGGTATGCCAACCACTTGTGGCATTGTGAACGTTAACCTTATTGGAAATGTCTCCTCGCGTTAAGGTTGTTCACGCTCAAACAAGAACGGTGTAATGAGCCATATTATATTATAGCGCGTCATTAGTTTACATGTGTTAGGTTGTAGATTGCAATTAACCACCATTAACCACCGCTGAAACACTTGGTTATTTTGACTGGCATATCTAATCCTTTTCTAATGAAGTCACAAATTTAGCGTGTTAGAGTCTACGCATGTTGTGGTGTTTCTTGTTAGAGAGCTTGAGCAATATGTGTAGATGCATGAAGCAAACATTCCTCGCAGACAGGATATAAGGATTGTAATTTTTCCAACACCCTTTCGTTTTTTTATCTATTTCATTTTTTGGCGTGTATATTTCTGATTTTGGCATGAATATTTGACCTTTTTCTTTGTCCATATAACTGACAACCGATACATTGACATTATTATTGTTGTAGGTGGTGGTGGTGGTGATGGTGGTGGTGGTGGTGGTGGTGGTGTCAATGTGAATTTCAAATTCGGACATTTTTGCACAATAAATCAAAGGTGTCTATAGTTGTCCCTTGATCAAAGGCTTGAATTGATCTAACTTTAATTCTATACATATAGAGATATTTATTTATAACACTATATGTCTAAATGCCATTCCACAACTAGGCAATGCCTGCAATGTATATCGATCATGATATCAAACTATAAATACTCTGTTACCTGCAAGCCGCTGAAAATCAAATTGAAATATATTTCTTACATAAAACGACGCTTATTCGTGCCTTATAGTTTTTAAAAAAGTCCAGAAGGGGGCTTTTTGGGCCGTTGATAATGTTTCATTGTTTCTGGACGTCAGATATACCAAGCAGCTCTTGCTGTGGAATGTGCTTTTAACACGAGAATTAGTATTTAGTATCCATATGAATTCTACATGGGCAATTTTAGCTTTACTGAAATGTCAGATATGCAATGATATGTCTCTAGAGGTTTTAGTTATCCGGAAAATCGATGTGTAATTAAAATGTTCGCAGTTTATTAAAGATTTCGGCATGCATGATGTTACCAGTGCGTATAGTATTCTGCATGTCTCCAGTACATTCTTTTAAACAATTCTTAGGTACTTGTCGTTGCATCTCGAGGAAGTTGCTGATAATTAAGAGATGTATGTGCTCAGTAACAGCTGTTTGCTGATCTGACCAAGATACCGGTTCTTGAGATTCTTAGATTTTTAACAATCAATGGCTTCCGTCACGGCATAAGATTGAAGAGCGAGTTTCTAGATGATGGTTCGATCGCTATCATGTCGCCTTCTTCGGGGCACGAGGGTATTGACCACAGGTGATGTAGAGTCTATCACCGGCTTATATGCACTTAAATAGCGCCATTAATATTCACTTAAGAAGCTGAAAAACCATAAATGTGTAAACGCAATGTGAGAGATACAGAATTAAAATATTTGTACTCCCATTAAGTTAAAGGAGAAAGGGATTTTCATCAATCTGTAAATACCGACTCTGCTGTCAGCTGTCAGCCTTCACGTTCGGTGAACAGCCGTGCTGATGGGTTGAATATTGAAAACTTCCCATATCGACGATACCATCGCACGATAAACCGATAAACAGGGCCATGCGAAGCACCATCTGACATATTCATTTAATTAGTTTCAAATTTACGATAACCGACCTAGTCAAACCATGGGACTATTAGACTGCTACGAGTATGAGCGATTTGATTAAGTCAGCATATGTTTCACGTTTAGGATGCTGACTGTCCCATGTGCACTAAAACAAAATCATATTCATCTTTGGTGGCCAAATTACTTGTAGTAATGAACTTATGGTCGTTGTTTTTGTGTACCACGCGCGTCAAAATATTGAAAAAACAATTGCTGCAACAGAATTCTGTCTTTGTTAATGGTGTTCATCATTGTTATTGGTAGGAAATTGTGTGCTACAAATGTGTTCTGTTTATTTGAGCAAAATTATGCTCCAAGGTATACCAAATGGCCACCGTAGATTACTTAGACAAAACATAAATATGTTGATGTGACTAATGCCATGTTCTGGCAACATTTAATGGAATAGGGGCATGTTTATTATTTTAAACAGTTCATATTGACGTAATTAATCTGATTCGTGTTAACCTTTGTTGCGTAACGTTGTACAAGTATGTTTTTACATCAGTGCTAAATTCATATTTTCTAACGTTTATCAGGTCCCAAAATTCTTCACTTTTTTCAAACGTTTTGCATAAGATTATAGCACGTTTCCATAGCAACATTGAGGCTTATCATGACTTTTAGACAACTAAGTCAATAGCAGAAGCTATTTCTGAAGACTTCCGACTAGGCGATTAGCACAGGTGCTTTGTTTACGAAAAAATATATTTTATGTACTTTTTTGTCCATTAATTTTATACTGGAAATTGCTTATTTGGAACTTTATGTGAAGCATGACATGCACTAGTATTCATTAAGGTTTAGAGCAACAGTAGGTATTTATACTCAAACTACGCCGATGGAATGCAGAACGCAAATGATGAAGACTCCAGGCATGATAGAAGATATCAAGGAATTCAATGTGCTTAATACGATATAGTGGAGTAAGACGTTCTAAAGTTCATTTTTCGTAATTACTCAAGGGTCATTCGTGAGTATTTACACTGTACACTCAATCATTCAGTAGCTGCGTTTAAGCAATCTTAGCTCAAATGAGTTGTATGGATGTAATTGGTCCTGGCCTCAGAAAACTGCACCATGTAGTTCATTTATGGCGTTTCTCGTATCATGCCTGCAGTTCAAAGAAACGGAATGGTGGTTTTATTGTGAGACCAATGCGTATCATATTAACCTGCTTCGTATCTTTGCAATATATCGTACTCTTGCGTTAATGAGATCTGAAATTCATAGTAAATTGTCTTCTACGAAAAAAGCTGAGTTCTTACGGCCTATCATTACAGAAACGGATATGAAGTCTCTCTTGCAAGTAACTCTCCAGTTGCTCAGTGAATGATTGATAGGGGCACGATCACAAATGAAAACTAGCGTGATTTGTTCTTTCTTGTGTAAGCCTCCACTATTACTGGCTAATGCACTATGACTAATGTGATTTTTTCGTTTTTTTTTCAGAAATCACAGTTTGTTTGTACTAAGACAGCCTTCAAATCAGCTTCCTCGGATCTCCTTCAGTGTCGGCATCACCTGCCCGTCAGAATCGAATACAGCTTGATTCTGTTGGACACAGGCCCTTGATCTTGCGTTTTGTGAAAGAACGGAAAACACATCGCTCGGTTAACTCATACTAGGGTTTATATTACCATCACCACAAAATGAACTGACCGTCGACGCACCATTGTCATTCACGAAGTCACCGCCATCTATCTAGATAAAGAAGAAGAACGTTATTGAGTACAGAAGCAGGACGTACAGGTTACAGGCGTGTAACTGCAGTTTATAGTTTCTTCGTATAGCGCGGCATCAAAATGGGCAATTTTACCCCTATCTCCGATGTCATTTTGACAGAGACGCTCGATAAACAAAGTGTTGAACTTTCGTTTATATCAATCACCAAATATGACGCTAGCGACTATTTGAACAACACCTTTGATTATCAAAACATAACAAATATTACCGTGCCAGAACCTTCTCTCCAAGCTCACTCAATAGTTGCCGCTATAATGTATAGCTTGATTTTTTTGATTGGCTTATTGGGTAACGTTCTGGTTTTGTATGTCATCTTAAGATATGTGAAGATGAACACTGTGACCAACATGTATATATGTAACCTGGCCGTGGCTGATGTCCTTTTTGTATTGGGGATCCCAATCACTATTGCCACCATACTAATGGAATCGTGGATATTCGGCGACTTCATCTGTCGAGTGTTCTTTGTCACTAATTGCGTCAACAGTTTCACCAGCATTTTCACCCTTGCCGTCATGAGTATGGACCGCTACATGGCCGTCTGCCACCCAGTGGCAGCAATGGACTTCCGGACAACCAAACTGGCCCGGATAATCTGCATCATTGTGTGGGTGGTCTCTGGCGCTTTGATGATCCCGGTGGTGTTGTACGCACGTATCGACACTGACGAGCGGGGTAAACCCACTTGTGGCGTCGAATGGCCAGAGAGTGACAAGCTGACCAGTGCCCAGGCGTTCACCTGGTACACCTTCTTAATGGGGTACGCCATCCCAGTTGCTTTGATATCGGTATTCTACACCCTAGTGGTGGTGCGCGTAGGTCAGATGGGACCCGCTAGTGGATCAGAAGGTGCCAACCGAACCCATCGCCGTGTGACCCGAATGGTCCTCATTGTGATCGCCGTTTATATCGTTTGCTGGATGCCTTTTTACATACAACAGGTGCTGCTTGTTCACGGGGTCATTGTGGGAGATGTCAAGATGTCTCTCTTCAATACCATCCTAGCTTACGCTAATAGCATGATGAATCCGTTTTTATATGCATTCTTCAGTGAAAATTTCAAAAAAAGTTTCCTCAAGGCTTTTCATCGCAGGTCTGTTGACGGATTCGAAGCTACCGGACAGCCAGACCCCCGCGAAAACAGTGCCTTTCCACCACCTCCCGCCATCTTGAAGAGCTGTCGCTGTGCCAATGGAGGAGGGTCGAATCTCAATATGGCAGAAGGCCCTACCGCAGAGGTTGGAACGTGCACTGAGGCCATCCCTCTGCAAAGTGTCTCTTGTAGTGAGGAGAACCATAATAAGATCGACCTGCAACCAGACGACGTTGACGAGAAGATGCTGCATCCGTATTACAAACCATTCGCCTATGAACATGAACCGTCTATTGTGACAAGTGTAGATGTATAGGGGAAAGTGTAGCATGTTGATTGTACAGTCAAATACTACATCGCCGTAGGCAAAACAGTTGAAAAAGCTGGATTGCGTTGGAAATATTAAAAACTGGAGTTTGGTGACTGAAAAGGAAATGGCGGTAAAAAGTGTAGCAGAGAATTATCAGCTTCTTATTCTGTAAGCAGAGGGTTATTATCACTAGGTTTATATGATGGAAAAAAAAGCAATCGCATTGTGACCAGGAAGAGAAATATATGAAAATGACGCAAGTGACCAGTTAAGAGAGTATTTAAAATAATAAACGTTGTGATTAGAATAGATCTGATTTCAAAAAAACTTTTTAGCCAGTGTCTGCTGTCCCTTAATTATACATGGTGACCAGATGCGTGCAGACAGATATCGATAAAATGTATGTGGAGTATCCTCCAAATAAGCTCTTCACGCAGATCGGATGTTAAAAAACATGGGCCTCAAAACACTTATCAGATGAAGAAACGGAACGTAAACTTCTGAGAGTGCCAACTACGTGACTGCTCCCTGGAGGTCAAGGTGTATTGATTGGTTTACAGGAAACAAGGCTGAACTAAGTGCTCGTTCCCAATGAAACAATCTTTCTACAAATATCGATCCAGCTCCGTAGGGAATCTCAGATTAATAGATCAGATTATATGCGAATCAGATTAATAGATTAGCACACCTCCTCTTGGCATTTAGTAATATACAGAAAAGCTGGTGATTACACGAGAACGTTGGAAACAAGAGGCGTGTTAATCTGTTAATGTGATTACATTCAGCAGGAGTCTCCACGGAGTTGGATTGATCTATGTAGAACGATAGCTTTAACGGCAATGCACCCTAATCTTCTTTTTTGGCACGATGACTGTCTTATTTGTGAGTACACCAACAATTAGTTCAGGTTTAGGTGTATTCATATTTTCTTAACAGTGGGTAGGCGCGGTATTAATATTTTAGGTAAATCCAGTTGTCTGATTTACATGAATTGAAACGATGTTCAGTCGTGTGCGTCCCTTTTAAAGCCACGAAGAACAATTATCCAAATGTACGTGGTGTCATTTATACTACAAAATGATTGATTTAGTGCTTTAAATATTCATTACTCATTATTTATGCACAGGCGAACTAACGCACATATATTGTTCAAATACTGTACGCACGTCTTCGTCATTCCCAATCTTCGTGTTAAAGTGTTCGTACGCAGGCCCGTAGCCAGGGGGGGTTCGGGGGGTTCGAAAGAACCCCCCTTTTTGCAGGGAAAAGGTCCTCTCTGGGTGAAATTTAATTAAGGTACATGAAAGTTTCATGGTAAAAGGTCCATTTTTTAAGAAAAAGAACCCCCCTTCTGAAATTTCTGGCTACGGGCCTGGTACGTTAACGCTATCAACAACCAGTAGGCCTATATAGTGTTAAAAAGTATCTTCACCGGGAGAAGACCAGGGACGAAGTCGGTGGCCACCTTCATGGAATGGTTGTCATTCCAGGAATGGTCACGTTCAGCACTAAAAGTGCTGATAAAATCACTTTTGCTTCAGAAAGCATATTTATGATTTGATCTTATTAGGGATCTTGACTCGTGGATTTATCTCATTGAAGTTTTTTATTCAGAAAAAGGCCTTGTTTTGAATTTAGTTGTGCAGTTTTCTTCTTTTTTTTCGGCCTTGCTTTGGGTTGTTAAGGAATTTTCAATATGCCAGACAGCTCCAGGACCACCCGTGCTCATATTGAGTGATTAATTTGCTATCTATCAAAGACAAGTATGAATTGTAAAAACTGGATATGTTCAAACCCGATCCCTATCCCCGAACCCTATCCCCGATCCCCGGCACAGCCGGGTAAAATAAAAAAATACGTTTTTGTAGGGCAATTTTCAAAAAAAGAAAAATCGCTCATATCTTTTACCATCGAAAACGTAGTTTCGGTCTCCTCTCTTCCAATTTTTAAAAATTGATGTTTCTTTGGAGAGTGCACAGTACTAACACAGTCGCTGGGCTTAATAATGATATTTTTGCATGTCTGGGAAGGGAATAGGTTTGAATCCGTCATTGCTGTAGAAACATTATATATTAAATCTTTAAAAGCCGCTTGTAACGGGAATACTAAATATTTTGTATTTGTAACCGGTGTCCATTGTTGTTTTTTTTTTCTTTATTTAAGATTATTTTATTTGTTTTCTATATAAAGATGTAGTATACGATTCCTAACTTACGGTAGTACGTAGCCTGTATATAAAGCCGGTTGCCGTGAAAATCATTACCGAAAGCCATTAATGCACGGAAAAGAGAAGAAGACCTTTCATGATTGAAGACTGTGTTAATAAATTGCTTAATCAATACAAAGTAAGAGGACATAGGTTAAAAAAGACAGGCTCATCAGCAGATTTAATTATTGACAAGTCGTCTTTAACGGATGGTCTTTTTCTTGAAAGGCATTGTTCTATCATTGAGTTAGAGTAAAATCAGTCAGTTGATGTGTGGTTGCTTCCAGGGATTAGGTTTTTCCGACTATCGGCGAATTGTCGAGTTTTTGGGAGCCAAAATACCAGTGGCCCAGGCGGCCCCCTGGACCCCACGTTATATGTTTCGACTTTTCACTAAACGGCAGCCTGATCCCTATGCTTAGCACGTTTGCAGAAATTAATTTGTTTGTATGTATTATTCTTTTAAGATTTTTTATTTTCTAAAATGGCATATGGTGCCTGTGAGGGTTATAGTGCCGTTTGCTTGTTAGCATGGGATAACGTCACTTTAAAATCCATGAAAACTTCATATCAGACGGCACCGCTTTGAATTGTATTTTGCACATCGTATTAATTTCTGTATTTTACATAAGGATTATCTTTTCATAAATTGTTGTCATTTTTCTTGAGATTTAACATACGTGTAACTAGACTATCAGAAGCGATTAATAGTATCTAGTCGCTTCGCATTAGTCATTTTCGATGCGTTTAAATTGTGTGAGTACCGTAAATGCTGCCATTATGTCAACTGCGCATATTTCTCTAAGAAGAAAATCTCTTTTCTTTGATTTATCAATCGGTTTGCACTTATTGATATTTGTTTAGCAATTTAAGTCAATCTTGTGTTTCAATAGGTAATAGAGATATCAAATAAAGTTTTGTCAGAGAAAATGTGTCTTCTGTCTCTCTGTGGACAATCCGACATTTCATAACAGAAACAATTATCGAAGACACGAAAACTAGCAATCTGCTATGGAAAGAGCATTGACATTTACAGTATCTTCGGAACATAAAATTAATATTTTATCAGAAAAAAAGTTGATTTCCTTTTTTATGTCAACATAAAAAAGTTGTAAATTATACATAGATATATCATTTAAGTGCTGAATCCGCAAAGGGAAATATTATACGAAATCGGATTCATTTTATGAGCGACTTGAAATAATTGTTCTAAATAATGTTTCTTTAAAATCATATCGGCAGATATGCTTACATTTTGCAAGGAAAACGTAGCTCATAGGTTGCTTAAGAGGATAGGATGAAGACAAAGATAAGATTAAAAGATGATCATAGATGATTCTTGTGTCAAGTTTCCAGTCTAGTTGATCGAACCTAATTTGATACGTCCTATCCCAACAGGTAATCCGATTACAATAAGCTTACTACTGGGATAAAATCTCCCATTGTTGTCTTGCCTACCACCACTGTAATAACGGTAAATCATCTAATTGCATTCTCACGGTACGCTTCTCGCACCCGGGTGCTTCATGCAACGTGGCAGTAAACAGGATGATTCTAGTGTCACTTTCATTATATGATCAGATGTTGCCAGATGCTTCAAGAAATGCAAATTGTTAGAAGAGGGGATTTAGAAGATCTTTGAGTACCTCACTGAATATCTCTCGACTTTGATTGCTACGTGTGCTTGTGCATTTCATAATTGTAAGAAAGGGTGACCTTGATGGGCCACGATTAAATTGAGATTAGATGGACTGGCGTGTTAATTCGCCCTACAGACGAGATGATACTATAAATATCACGTAACTGCCAACACAATAAATGAACAGAGTAATTGGCTACTTGCGTCATCGCTTTTCATAGAAAATCAAAATGGATAACAAATCACAGGTTTGAATATTCTTTAAGTAGACAGAAACAAAATATTCAGTTTCTCTCATCATGTGAGAACTACACCATAAAAGGAACATGTAATGTTCATCTGGCAGATATTAGTCTCTGTAACTTTAAATCTACCACCCCAGTTTGATAAAAAGATCTGGATGTACATGTACACCTTGGATGTACACCTATAAATTGTGTATACAGTATGTAAGCATACATAATTGATCTCCGAGGTCTCGATACAGTTCATGGAATTCAATTTGTTCAGATGTAGACTTTTAACTTTAAGGGGAAGTAAAAAGCTTTCATCCAGCTGCTACATCTCTTTTGAATAGGAAAGATAATGATTTTAACAATTACTCTTAACCTTTAGTTTTATTTCTGCAGACATTGTATTGTACTTTTTTTATTTTATTTTTTTATCTATTTGATCTTAAACCGGAGATAATAAAACAATTTCCGTTTTCTGTATATTTTATATTTTGTTACACACACACACGCACGCGCGCGCGCGCACACACACACACACACACACACACACACACACACTGACTGAATAAACTTGTACCGAGACTGTATCTCCAATGAGGAAAGAATTCAGCAACCATAGGTCCCTGCGAAGACCCACAAAAGGTCATTAAAAACTACGCAAGTCAAAATGGTACGGGCATATGTGACAAGATCTTTGGGGTTTGCCAAAGCCGGGCTGCAGACATTTAAGACTTTTTAAAATGTACCTAGAAGTACCACTGCTGTGCCTAGACATTTTATCCTCATGTCACACACAGCTAAAGCAGGTGATGCAGCAGGCTGCAGTGAGTGTGGAGGAGAGGCATAGTGAGACAGACACTGGCGACTGGCAGAAAAGAGACACATATCAGAGGACAACGTCCAGGAGTGAGCAGAAATGGAGCTGGTTGCAGCCATGTGGAAGACAGAGAGGTATTGGTTGTCAGGTGATGCCACTGAAGGTCCAGCAGAATATGGAATAGATCGATTGAAATCATCGATGACGTCATGCAGTGCCACGGGTCTCGTTTTAGGCTATCCGTGGTGAATCCCATCGGCAATATATCAAACAACAATAGCTCTTGAATTAAGTTCGGAAATGCCCGTCTTTGAAACACACTAATTATCAGTCTTATCGTATCGGTCTTACGATCGACATACTGGTATGTACAGGTAGAGACTACCGGATCGATAAAGTCGTCCCAACAGGAAAACGCAGTGATCGGTTCATGTTCTGAGCGTAAAATAACTCAAGTTAGAAACAAATAGCTAATATAATATGGAACAGTGAGCGATGACGAAATCGGAACAAGGGACTGTGACGTTGCTTATTGCAATAACGGCAGTAATATTCGTTAGCATACTGAACACTTGACTTTCGATTTGTATCCACAGCGATTATACTTGTCTTGACTTTTCATTACCCTCTACCAGGGCGACAGATTGATTTTCCACTTTTGGGGTGGTAGATTTAAAGTTACAGAGACTTTTGTTGTCAACAGACCAAAATGACCGTCTATTTATCTAGAGACATATCTGTGAATGTCTGTGGAAAATCAATCTGTCACCCTGGTAGAGGGTAACTTTTCATTGAGCCAACTTTTTGTTCCAATAGCTTTTGCTGTTTCACATATTTTCCTTGATTAATCTTGATTGCACTCATCAATCTACTTTGTTAATAATAAATTATGGCAGTTATATAGTATGGGGGGTATGATTATCCCCCATTTTTGTAACTTTGTATCTTATAATTTTTTACCTTAATAAATGACAATTCAGTCATATGGACTTTATCTTATTAACCTTTGAGCAAAACAGCGCCTCGTTACGCTTGTGAACATTTGGCTAATTTTCAGCTGCTCCTACCGAGTTTAAAAACTTGAAAAATATCTATAATAGCTAATAGGTAATTTCAATTGTACTTTTATCTACGTCTTATAGAAGGCTGTGGGCCTTTCAACATCAAATGACAACGTTTGAAACAAAAATGATTTTTATTTATCTGCACGACAACCGGGTATGGCTTTCTTGTTGAAATTCTTTGTTTGGGAATGTTGTCGATTTTAGTAGAATGAAATATTCTGCTTTTAAGAATGACAATAATTATCACGTAAGAGT